GCACGCGAAGATTTTTTTAAATCCGATTATTAAGCGCGAGAAACAGAGAGGAGAAGAAGAAGAAGAAGAAGAAGAAACTAACGCGTCGAACAGTGCTTTTGACTTTTTGGATACTTTCATGTACAAAACACGAATGACGGTTTATAGCTCAAGGAGAACATTAAAGAGACAGATATTGTAAGAGAGTAATAATAATTTGACGGTTACGATATCGTAACACTCACGTGTTCTTTTTTCCTTTTCTGTTGCTATTCACCCGAACCTGCGCTTCATTCGCATTTCTTTTCTTTTTCTTTTTCCTACGATTCCTTCATCACTACCCTAATACTTTATCGCATTTGATACGATACCTTTGCTGTTCTAGTCTTTCACTCGCACTCGGGAAAGAGAATACAATTAATACCCAAGGGAATCGAATACCTCGAGCACAAAGTGAATTTACGATCATCCTTGATGGATCTTCCCGAAACTCGTATCGCAAAAGGCGACTCACGATTATTATTACGCCGTATAATTTTTTTTCTTTCTTTCAACTTCCGCCCCAAGAAAGTGCAAGTTCACATTCCTCGTCGCGAGTTACGCAAGTTTGGACGCGAAACCAGCTAGCTTGGCATGTTTATTTTCCACGGAGAGGGATATTTGCTTTGAAAAATTAGCTTGAGCGTTTTATAGAGAAGCGCGGCCCACTTCCGTTTCCGGCAGGAACCACCCAGTTGACGGGGAATACGATATTCCCGCGGGCGATGAAGCTACACGGGAAACCCGATCCTCGTTCCAAGATCGGCTCTCCTCTGAACAACCTGTTGGCTACGCTGAAACGACGTCGGATGTGTGTACGTGTGTGCTCTCGAGACACGAGAAATTCAATAAGCCGACTCGCGTGCCTTTCTACGGATGAACAAAATTCGTATCGATCATGCGAAAGGGGGGAAACAATGACGATATAATTAGCCGCTGGCTGGGTCACACGGTGTACGGTTACACCGATTCTACGCTCTTTTTCATCTCTGAATTGACTCGATCGCGAGCTCGTTAATTACAGCCGGCCGATCGAATGAAATCGATTAATCGCCGTTTGCCGTGGCTGCTTACCTCGTGATCATCGTGACTCGATCGCAGATCGTCGACGGAGCAAAAGAAAGTTTCTCGAAATTTATAGAAATCGGTCTGTTCAAAACGCCTCGTATCGTCCCTGTAGAACCAGGTCGTTAATTAGAAAATGACGATTCAATTAATCTCACAGTTTTGTTTATCCTTACGTTGCTCGGCTTGGTCTCTCTACAGTTACTCACCATTGTTCCTCGGCCAGCAGGATTCATCGTAAGGAGAAAACACGTGGACAAAGAAGTCTCACCTGCCTGGCGGGTGGAGAGGCCACGGTAACTCCGTCGTACCGTATGCATTTCGTTGGATCCAACGAAACGGAGGAAGGTGGTGTAAAAAAGTAAGTAAGCCAGTCGGGGGAAAAACACAGGCGCACACCGGTGATCGGGAAGAAGAACGATTGTTGATTTACTCGGTCGACTTGGAAATACTGTTTACCGGCTGCCCGGTGAAAGAACGGGAAGGAGACCTGGAATGGTAATGGTAATGGTAATGGTACCGGTGCAGAACGTCGGGAACGCGGATTATACGAGCTTTCGTTTCTTGCCCCGTACCCTCGAGTCGCCGCCGTCCCCGCCGTCGAGTTCTTCGCCGTTCGTGTACAGTTAACGAGACACCGGGATGAAATTCAGCTCGTCCGTTGTCCTACGGTCGTTGACATTTTTCTTCTTTTTTTTCCCCCCTCTCTTTCTCTCGGTGCATCATCTCCGTCTGCGATAATTATCGAAATTCAATTTCACCGTTTAGTTGGTGAAGATAACGATGTTGTAATACGTATATATGTATATTTTATCAGGGATAATATTTTCTTTTGGTTGAAATGAACGAATCCAGAGGGGCACGAAAGATCGTACGTTGCGAAGATTTCTGCCAAGTTTTCATGCTCCAACGGATTCTCGAAGCGTCATTTCCTTCTGCGATAATTATCGAAATTTAATTTCATTGTTTTATTTGGCTATGTATATATATATGTATGTTTTACCAGGGATGATATTTCCTCTTGGTTAAAATGGATGAATCCAGAGGTACACGAGAGATATACGTACGTTGCGAATATTTCTGCCAAGTTTTCATGCTTGACAACAATGTTCCAACGGATTCTCGAAGCGTCATTTCCTTCTGCGATAATTATCGAAATTTAATTTCATTGTTTTATTTGGCGATGCAAATAACGATATTGTAATACTTATATATATATATATATTTTTTTTTTTTACCAGAGATAATATTTCTTCTTGGTTAAAATGGATGAATCCAGAGGTGCATGAGAGATATACGTACGTTGCGAATATTTCTGCCAAGTTTTCATGCTCGACAACAATGTTCCAACAGATTCTCGAAGCGTCATTTCCTTCTGCGATAATTATCGAAATTTAATTTCACTGTTTTAGTTGGCAAATAACGATATCGTAACACGTATATATATATATATAT